CCCCAAGGCACTGCATGCAGGCAGCCCCTTTCTCATACCCATGTGTGTTACTGTCTAGGAACTCAATGGTGCCTTCCCTTTTCTTACCTTGCAGGACACTTTTGTGGAACTCTATGGGAACAATGCAGCAGCCGAGAGCCGGAAAGGCCAGGAGCGCTTCAACCGCTGGTTCCTGACAGGCATGACTGTGGCCGGTGTGGTTCTGCTGGGGTCACTCTTCAGTCGGAAATGACCAGACACTGACCACCCCTCACCCTCTCACCCCTGCCTTGTCCCACCACACCCCTCCATCCAGCCACATTTGCAACCAGGAGAACCACTACATGCAGCCCGTTCCTACCTACCCAACCCAGGGGTGGGTCTAGACCTGGTCCCTCACAAATAGTTTTCTAGAATCTACCACGCTTCTGTGAGAGCTGCCTTCCCCTACACCTTATTTCTTTTGGCCTCAAAATCCAGTTTCCCTAGAATCTACCCCATGGAGGCTGGTGCAGGGTTGGGGGAGGGAGCTCGATTGGTGGAACCTTTATTACCCTTAGCCTCTGAGGATGCTTTCCTGGTAGGGAGTGGAAAAGTTTTCTGAACCTCTCCTGGAGAGACTAGATTGCCTTTGTTTTGATGTTTGTGGTCTCAGAATTGATCATTTCCCATCCCCCTCTGGACCTGGCCTCCCTTCCATCACCACCCCCAAGAGCCATTTAGAGGCCACTTCTACTTAGGAATTCAGGCTGCTTGGGATAAAGAAGCAAGGACCAGGACTTCCTCCCTATGTCTGGCCTGGCCGAAGTCCCCACTCCTAGTCTGAATGTTCTCCAGAGGCCTCTGGCTAGAGGCCAGTCCCATCCAGGAGGGAGGGGGCTATCAATGCAGGAAACACCCGTGTGCACGCTAGGGCAGCCCTTGCAGTTTGGCACCACCCTAGTCCCTTCCTTTCCTCCCCTCCCCGGATCCCATGACCATGACTGAGGGACCAACTGGGCCCAAGACAGGTGCCCCAGAGCCGTTGATGGCCTCAGCTGCCTGCTTCCTGCAAGGAGCTCAGCCTGTGGCATCTTAGCCTTGGCTGCTGCCCATGGGGCCCAGGGCCCAGAGGCCTGAGCCCAGAAGTGAAGGGGAGCTATAGGGAGCAGCTGTAGGAGCCCTGGGGTCTTCCCTACCTCAGGCAGGAAGGGCAGGAAGGAGAGCCTGGCGCCCAGGGAGGATGTGAGGCTGGCTGGGGCCTGTCCTGTCCAGCCAGGCAGTTGTGCCCCACCCTGGTGCAGCTTGGGCAGCTGGGCTGCCAAGGTCAGAGTGGTCTGGCCAGGAGCCCTTCTGGCCTCCCTCTCCCCTCTGCTCCATCCACAGCCTGTCTCACCCCTGGGGGTCCCAGCCCAGCACTGGCCACCCCAGGCTCTCTGCTGTACATATTCAAGACTAGTTTTTATTCCTTGTGAAAATGATAATACTATTTTTGTTAAGCGTGTCTGTATTTATGTGTGAGGAGCTGCTGGCTTGCTGTGCGTGTGCACGTGGAGAGCTGGTGCCCAGAGATTGGCGGCCTAATGCTCCCTCCCCTGCCCTGGCCTGGGGACGCCCGGCCCTGGGGTCCTGGCTCCCGAGGGGCACCTGTCCCTCCCTGAACCACCCCCATCCTTGTTCCAGCTCTGAAATAGTCTGTGTGAAGGTGAAAGTGCAGTTCAGTAATAAACTGTGTTGATTCAGTGAACAAAGGCCTGGGCTCTGGTGCTTGGATGGGGAGAGAAGCTGCCTGGCTGGCTGAAGGCTTCGGGACAGCTGGCCTGCTCCAGGCTCTGTGCCCTTGGAGCACCTCAACCGAGTCCCTCCTTCTGGGCCTGCGTTTCTGCACCTGTACACTGATCGGATTTTATCAGCACCTGTGTGTGTCGCGCACAGTGGTTCACAGAGGCTGGGCATACCCGCACCCATGGGAGCTGCGTCCTAGCCGCCCTGGCTCACCAGGGCATCCTGATCCCTGCTGAATACAGCACAGGCGTGGGCACTGGGGACGGCGGTAAACAAAGCCCTTGCCTGTCTGCTCTAGTGAGGTACACAGATGATCCGTACATCTCAGGGCCATGAGGAAGACGCAGGCAGTACCAGGGATTGAACTCAGGACCCTGCGCTTGCCAGGCAAGCGTTTATTCTACTGAGATACCTCCCCGCCCCAGGGAGCACTTTTTAAGGTAGGTCCCTCAGAATTTCAAATGATCTTTAGAGCAAGAGGCCTAGGGTAATGGGTTTTTGGAATAGATATCCCATTGGATACATGAAGACAAGCACACATCGGAGAGCAGTACAGCTGCTGGGTTTGGCTGGGAGACGAGGAAGCACACGACATCCAAGGCCTCGAGTGCGTGCGGAAGGGGTTAGGCTGCGGCGCTATCCAGGCACAACTGGACCCCTCTGCAACCCGGGCAAGGTGGGCTGCAGAGGTATGTGTGCAGCCTCGGCACTATGCTGTGTGCTAGAGGTGCGGCATGCAACCCGGTGCAGTGAGGAAGCCGTGGGTTCGCTAATCTCTGGTTCTAAGGATGGCATGTGCCCAGGGTCACCATACCTAGTCCAGTGACATGGGCTGTCACCTTATCTCTATGCACCAGCTGACCCCCTCTAAAAATGCACTTGATTACACCCTCTGCGCCCTGCCCCCATTGTTAATGACCCAACAGGAGAGGACAGGGAAGCCTGGCTTTGAGGGCGGGCGGGGACAACCCCGCCAGTCGCATACAGGCCTTTCAGGAGGGGAGGACACGCGGCGCTCAAGCTCCACGTGGCTGTGGCTGAAGTTGGGGAGGGGTCTGGGGACGTGTCCTGGAGCCCAGCCGCTGCCCGGCGTGGGGCGGGGCTGCCTCTGGCGCCCCGCCCCGCCCGCCATCTGGAGCGGGCTTACCTGCCCCCTGGTGGCTGTGCGGTGCAACCCAAGAGCCGGCACCAGCCCACGCCCCGCCCGCCCAGGGCTGCCAGTGTCTCCAGCAAGCTTTCCGGCGCAGGCCAGAAGGATGTTTGCACTTTCAGCCCTTCGATTCTGGCTTCAGAGCTTGCTGCAGTTCTGCGGCTGAGCTGACCTTCTCATCTCGAGGCCGAAGCCTCCACCCTCCCACCCCTTCTTCCACCATGTCTCTGGCTCTTGCCTCTCCCAGCCCCTCACCGTCCTGCACATAGGTGTAAATATATATATATATATAATATATATATATATATATATATATATTATATATATATATATTGCTGAACCGGGGATTGAATTCAGACCCTTGCATTTGCCAAGGAAGCACTTATTCTACTGAGCCATCTCACCAGTCCCATGTAAATATATTTCGACCCCAACTTTTTTTGTACACACCGCCTTACTACAAACAGTACACACCGCCTTATTATTTCCACCTACATAATGTACCTTATAGGAGCTTCTATATCCATTCATGGGTTCTCATGTACTTATCATGCAACTCAAATTTATGTAACAATTGGTGACAACTTCATTCCAGTATTCCATGAAAAAGAAATTATTTTTAAATATTTTTGAGAGAGTTTCACTATGCAGTTTAGGCTACATAGTGAAAACCCACAATCTTCTTGCTTCAGCCTCCTAAATACCTGAAAATATAAGCGTGTACCACCATGTTAGTTCATTCTGTTTGTCTCACTCTGTCTCTGTCTCTCTGTCTCTCTCTCTCTCTGTCTCTCTCTCTCTCTGTCTCTGTCTGTCTCTCTCTCTCTCTCTCTCTCTCTCTCTCTCTCTCTCTCTCTCTCTCTCCCTCTCTCTCTCTCTCTCTCTCCCTCTCATTGACAGGATCTCCCTTTGTAGCCCAGGTGGCTCTTGAACTCATGATGATCCTCCTGCCTCAGGGATTACAGGCAAATGCCACTCTGCCTAGCAACAGTTGCAATTTATTAAAACTGGGTAAGGCTGGGGATATAGCTCAGTGGCACAAGTGCCTGACTGGCAAGTGGAAGGTCCTGCATTCAAATTCCCAGTAACACACACACACACACACACACACACACACACACACATCAAAACTGGGCAAGTGCCAGATGTGGTGGCTTCAGTGGCATACACTGTAATTGCAGAACTTTGAAGCAGAAGGATCCAAAGTTCCAGCCCAGACTGGGCACTTTAGTGACCAAGTGAGACCTTGACTCAAATTTTAATTTTTTTCATTTTTTATGTATTTGGTACAGGGTCTCACTACACAGCTCAGACTCAAAGTGATGCTCCTGTTTTCAACCTATCCAATTACAGGTGTGCAACACCACGCCCAGACTGTCACAGGCTCAGAACACCTCGAGGGTGGGGCTGGCATAGCACGTGGGACCTGGGATGGAACCATGGCCCCTGTGCTTGCCAAAGCAGGCACTTAGTCCACTGAGCTATCTCACCGGTCCTTCAAATTTTTATTTATTTATTTATTTATTCATTTATTGTGGTACCAGGGATTGAATTGAAGACCCTGCACTTGCCAGGCAGGCACTTATTCTACTGAGCTATCTCCCTGGCCCTCTTCAAAATTTTAAAAAAGCTATAAATCAGGGCTGGTGAGATGGCTCAGTGGTCTAAAGCACCTACTTAGAACAAGCTAAGTTAAACAAAGCACAGGGACCGCGGTTCAATCCCCCAGCACCACATGCCAGCCAGCCCCGCCCCCTGGTGGGCCGAGCTGGCCACACACACACACACACACACACACACAAATTAAATAAATAAATAAATAAATGAAAAGGCTATAAATCAGCTCGTGCAAAAGCCCTAGATTCAGACACCAATACAAAGAAGACCAAGATGCTGAACAAAGCTGTATGAGGCAAGAAAAGAAAGGCTGGCCTTGAGCTGGAGGAGATCCTCCTGCCTCAGCTTCCCAAGTGCTGGGGTCACAGGCATGCGCCACCACACAGACTGTCTTACTTTTCTTGTTGCTAAGAAAAATACCCGGTCCCCAAAGATGGCTGCACCCTGGCGAGAGGAGCGAAGGTTGCCCTGAACCGTGCATGGTGGAGGAGCACGCGGGAGGCGCGCACGAGGTACTGGCATTCCGGAACAAGGCTCAATATGGAAAATCATAAATCAGATGATACTATCAAGGAAAACATAACTGATATTATAGCCAGAAAAATTAACCAACTTCCAGAGACAGACAGGAACCTACTTGAACACGGATCAGTATATGTTGGACTTAATGCGGCTTTCTGTGGTCTGATAGCAAACAGCCTTTTTCGGCGCAGCCTGCACGTGACACAGGCTCGTATAGCTGCTGGCTTACCAATGGCAGTGATTCCGTTTTTGTCAGCAAATGCCTCTTACACAGGTTTTGTAACTTTACCTCTGAGTACAGGTGATCTGAATTGTGAAACCTGCACTATGACGCGGGCTGGACTGATTGGTTTAGTTTTTGGTGGTCTGTCCCCTGCTTTCTTGGCTATGCCTGTGAATGGTGCCCTAGCAGCCAGGTATCAATCAGCACTGCTACCAGAGAAAGGAAACATCTTAACCTACTGGATTAGAATAGCTAAGCCTGTCTTCAGAAAGATGGTATTTCCCCTTCTACTTCAGACTGTGTTCGCAGCATACCTTGGAGCTAGACAATATAAACTACTTATAAAGGCTCTTCAGTTACCCGAACCAGGCCTAGAAATTAACTGATTTTTAACTAAGTATGTATATAAAATGAAAGTGAAAATGTTTCTCTTAAAAATAAACTTACACAAACGCAAAAAAAAAAAAAAAAAAAAAAAGAAAAATACCCAACACCCAAAGTTAAAGGAGGAAAGATTTATTGTAGCTCATTTATTGTAAAGGTTTCAGGCCATAATCAGCTGGCTTCAAGGCAGGCTGGCACGGCAAAGGGCATCAAGGAGAATCAGTTCATGGTGAAGCAGGGCAGGCAGAAGGCAGCAAGCAGCAAGCAACAAGCAGCAGCAACATCAGCCCTCTTTCCATTCCTTGCATTCTATCCAGGCTACCTGCCCAGCCCTCGCATATAGGCTGGGGCACCTTAATCCCAGCATCACACTATGAATCAGTGTCAGCATCACATCCTTGATCACAGCACCACTCATCCTAGATCCAGCTACCTCTGAAAATCACCCATGGCTCCCTTGAGGCTTTGGAGGGACATGCAAGCTATAGCACCCGGCACATAAAAAAATAAAAAAATAAAAAAAAAAATCTTTTTTTTGTAGTACTGGGTATTGAACCAAGGGCCTTCTAAATAGCTAGGAATACAAGTGTGTGCCACCATGTCCACCTTTCATTTTTTTACTGTCTTTAATTCTGAAAAAAAAAAAATAACTAATGGATTTTAAAAAAAATTTTTTTTGAAGTGCTGGGATCAAGAGATAGTGATTTAGGCCAGGGAGATGACGCAGTAGAATAAGTGCTTCCCTGGCAAGCACAAGGACCTGAGTTTAATCCCCGGTTCTGATTTAATTTTTTTTCAGAACCAGGGATTGAGCTCAGGCCCTTGCACTTGCCAGGGAAGTGCTTATTCCATTGAGCCATCTCCCTGGCCCCTAAAAATCTTTTTAAAACATATTTCTTGAGCTGTCAAGATAGCTTAGTGGACTAAGCACCTACTGAGGCAAGTGTAGGGACTGGCTTCAATCCCCAGCACCACTTGCTGTGTCAGCTCCACCCCCGGGACATGCTGAACCAGAGACAGTCTGGGCGTGGTGGCACACACCTGTAATCCCAGGGCTGGGGAGGCTGAAAACTGGAGGATCACTATGAGTCCAAGCTGTGTAGTGAGACCCTGTACCAAATACATTTACAAAAAAAATTTCTTAGCTTTTCCCACACTTTAAATATAGCCATAGTGCTCGCTTCAGCAGCACATACACTAAAATATAGCCATATATTTATTCTAGCTCTTCTATATAGCCTTAAGGTTTTTTTGTTTTGTTTTTGCAGAACCAGGGATTGAACTCAGGTCCTTGCGCTTGCCAGGCCAAGTGCTTATTCCACTGAGCTATCTCCCCAGTCCCCAGCCTTAAGCTTTTTTTTTTTTTTTAATTTTTTTATTTTTTTTTTTATTTTTTGTGGAACCGGGGATTGAACTCACACACTTGCGCTTGCCAGGGAAGAGCTTATTCCATTGAGCCATCTCCCCGGCCCTTAAGCTTTAAAAATAATATTTCTCAAACATCTCCAGTGAAGAGACTGCAGTGAGCACATAGCTGTCCTTCAGGAAACTATGCCATATTCTCAAACCTTGATTTCCAGTACCCTTGTCCACTTCTGAATGTCCTCAGTTTGAAAAATTACCTTGGAAGACAGAGATTTCGCCCCCATTCCTCTCCCCCAGTGGTTTGCAAACTGACTTCAGAAACAAAAGTCTGGGATAGAAGTAGTCTCCCTAGCAGCTAGAGAGTGTGGTTCCTGGGATGGGTGTGCCCTGGGAAGTGCCCAACCCGAGGCAGGCACCTGAGAGACCGCAGAGCCTTTCAGGACAGAGCCTGACAAGGCGGAGAGTGCTGTCCCACTCTGAGATGAGAGAGTAAGCTCAGACAGACCACACAGATGGTTTCGCTTTCAGACAGGCTTCAGAAAGGTGAGCTGAGGTGTTCAAGGGTACCTGGCAGCCCGTAGAGTCACAGCCCAATCAGGTGTTGGGGATGGAGCTCAGTGGCAGAGCACTTGCCTACATGCATGTGGCCCTGGGGTCCATTCCCAAGCACTGAAAATATTAACATTATTAATAATAATGGGGGGGGGCCGGGGAGATGGCTCAGTGGAATATGCGCTTCCCTGGCAAGCACAAGGGCCTTAGTTCAATCCCCAGTTCCGCCAAAAGAAACGAAATGAAATAAATTAATTTAAAAAAAAATAATAATAATAATAATAATAGGGGGGCTGGTGAGATGGCTCAGTAGTCTAAAGCACCTACTTAGCACAAGTTTAGCAATGCACAGGGACTGCGGTTCAATCCCCCAGCACCACATGCCAGCCAGCCCCACCCCCTGGTGGGCTGAACTGGACACACACACACACACACACACACACATAAGTAAAAATAAAAAAATAGGGGCTGGGGAGATGGCTCAGTAGAATAAGCACTTGCCTGGCAAGCGCAAGGGTCTGAGTTCAATCCCCGGTTCTGAAAGAAAAAAA